TCTCTTCTCTTCTCTTCTCTTCTCTTCTCTTCTCTTCTCTTCTCTTCTCTTCTCTTCTCTTCTCTTCTCTTCTCTTCTCTTGAATTAGGGCACCTGCCTGTTGGTTTAAATGGTTATGGTGTACAGCTTGATACAAACACATATTCATGGTCACATACAATCATATTTAAATAGTGAAAAATGTAATAACACATTGTTGAGATCATATTTCCTCTTACACGTTTATGGAGCTCATTCTAAGTACAGTATGGATGTGTGTTTACATTACAGGTCTGACGACGTTGGAAGAAGTGGCCACAGGTGTGGAGCATATCTTGGCTGATATAATAGCTAAAGACCCGGACACACTCACCTTTGTGAAGACACTGTGAGAATAATCCATATTCACATAACATGTCTGATTTTTATTTTAGTTTTTTGTGTGTATGTGATTTTTTTATTTATTTATTTTTTCTGTGACGATTTATATCATCATAATGAATGTATGGCCCAATATGTTCTTCCTCTGTGTCTTTGTTCTTCAGGTGTGAGCGGAGTTTTGTGACCATCCAGTCCTCTGTATCCAAGACGGCACTAAAGGATAAAGAACAAGGGAAGTCTGTCCCAGACCAGAAAAAAATGAAGGCAGAGCAAAACAAAACCAAGGACATTGACAAGTTCCATCTCTACTTTGACTTCACCAGCAACGTCCAGCGCATCCAGCCCCATCAGGTAACAGAATGAACTAGTCGATCAGTCCAACAGCCTGCAGGATAGGTTGAAGATTGTTAGTATGTTTGGTGGTAGCAGTCTGGATGGTAGTGTCTGGCTTGAAGGTTAACCCTGATGTTCTTGTCACAAATGTTTCTCAGAACCCTCTGGCTGTTAGCTGCTGCTTATATTTTCCAGCCCCAACAAATCCAGCACCAACAAACAACTTTTGTGTTTGTGTATCAACCAACTGAAATAAAAAGATGAGGGAGTCAAAAACAATGATAGTGTGACGGTTGATGGACTGATAATAATCTTGGTTCATTCTTATAGTTGTGTTGTAGCATCTCTGGCTAAAAACTGATGGTTTACATGAGCTTTACTGATAATACATAGCACTGTTGCACCACAAACATATAAAAACACCACAAACACACTGTAAAACCTAATGAGAACTCCCACTATCATCATTTTATGTCTGTATTTTAACACTATAGCTTTAGAGTCTTCTAGTGACAAGACATGACAATTAAATTTAGATTTGTAAACCTCAGAAAATGTTTTTACAGTATTACTCATACACAGTAATGACTTATTACTTCCAACCCTTTTTAACTTGATTACAAGCTCTGTTTGAGTTTTATATCTATGCTTGGATGAAATATTTATGCACTCTTTCAGCTACAGTTAGCATAAATCATAGAAAAGTAGTGCAAAATCATGAAATGAAATGCAGCTCTAATCTACTTAATTCAAGCATGCTTCACTTTATCAACTGAACTTTAATGCAAAACCCAATTTAACGCAACTTCATTTAATCTAGGAATGTTAACTGCTTGTCATGTCAGACAGAATTGTGGCTCATATATGGTTGGAAATAGCAGTTGTCATTTTCAAACTCAGAAAACTAGAGACTAGATTACACATAAAATAAATCAAACTACTTGCAGACCTTGTGTTCCTACCTTTTTACAATCAAACCACCAACGTTTATGACACAACTAACGGGACAAAATAATGACACAGCACTAAGAAAATACATATTATACTAATAAATGTGAAAAACGACAAACCAGTGAGGTCTGCTGGACCATAATAAAGGTGATTTACACCTGTGTTGTGTGTTTGGACTCGCCCGACACTCACACGCATACACAAGACCAAATGCACACCATCTGTTTGTGTTTGCGTCATGTGTGTCTGCTTCATGCGTGCCGCTTCTGAATGCTAGCCATGTCAGTCGCGGTTAGCCTTGTCTGTGCCTTCATATTTACCCCTCCTGTGCCCTGCTCTGCCTCCTCTGCTCCCCCCTCCGTCCCTCTAGTGACTGCTAGGTTACTCAGAGTTGGTCCCGGGCCTCATGTGTCACCACAGCTCCCGTCACCCGCTGTCTCTGCCACACCACACTCTCTGGCAACCGCGCTCTGCCCTACAGTCATTTAATCACATACACACACAAGCACACCCTGCAAGTCCCCTCATTCTCTCCTCTTAACATATGTGACATGTCCCCTGCCGACATGCCATTGGATTAGGACGCCTTGATTGACAGGCGCTCTCCTGTAGTGACAGCTACTGCTGCTGGGCCCACAGGCGGACCAAAGGATGGGGAGAGGCAGCGGGGGCAGTACGGGGAGGGAGAGCTTCAACAGACGAGCGGTGCTGAGGTGCGTCCGTCACTTATCTCTCCGCCTCCCTCTCCCTGTTTTCTGACTAAACCTCGGCCCTCCGTTCCACTCCTCACCTCCCCTTTTTCCCCTCTTCTCCTCCGCCGTGTGTGCGAGGCCGTTAATTCGATGACTCGCCTTTGTCACGGAGCGTTAATCCACAGGCTGCTGTGACCCCGCTAGCTGTCAGACTCCAGCTAAAATGAACCTTTTCGAGCCGTCAAGTTGGCAGGAAGGGGGAGCAGGTGGGAGATGTGTTTTGACAGGAGGCATGTGTGTGAGCACACACTTGCCCGTTTGGTTTTGCACATTTTATTAAGCCCCGGCGCTGGTGGTTCGTTAAAGGGAAAAGGACACGGGGCGCCGTATGAAAGAGAGGGATGCTAGAGTTGCTCCAGGAATGTGGAAGTTGACCTGTAGATGGAAAAATTAGACGGCACAGAAAATTTGTTTTAGAAAATAAAAATTAAATTTCAGTTTACTATAGGTATGGCAATGTTTAATTAGAGATACAGGGACAGATGATGTAAAGCCTCGGACTAAAGAAGGATGAAACATGAACATTCATTTTTGTGTTGTCTGGCTGCAGCTGATGCAAATATTTTTTTATTTTTTTTATACATCAGGAAAAACTTTCTTCCTTTAACTGTTTAATTGTTTGATCTTTAAAATACTCAGTGTTTTGTAATCAGAGTGGTATTGCTCAGACATTAACTAAAGAAAAGCTGCACATTCTCAGTTAGAAACCTCAGAATGAATCAGTTTTATTGACCAAGAATGTGTAAGAAATGTGACTCCTGTGTTATTTACTGTCAAAGTACTTATACACAAAAACACATATTTAAAAAGGGGCAACAGGTTAGAGAAGAAAAATGAATGTTTGACGAATCTGTGCAGCTGTAGATGTGGATAAATGATGTTTAATGTGAACCAACACATCGTACAAAATACAGCGAGTAATAATCAATATAGAGTTATTTACACCTTAGTCTGCTTTTTTGTTGATCTAGTAATTGACGAATTGTTTCAGCCGTATAAAAAAGTATTCATCGCCAAAGAGAATTATGAAATATAATAAGTCCCCCCGATGTGTGCCTTTATATGACTGTGTACTGGTTTTATAAATCCATCTACAGTTAGTCTATAGAGCGCTCGTGTATGTCTTGGAGCATAATGCTTAGCTCAGATTTAATTCTGTCAGACTTGATTTGAGGCCTTCTTCCAACGGTTCACATTTACCTTATAGCTATTAGCAGCCGGTGCGCTCCTCAGTGTGCCAGGGTGGATTTGTTGAACGGGCAGCGGGCTATTTTTAATGCGATTTGTGCTGTGATCAAATGGTGGTTTAGTGCTCTGGTCTGGGGCTTGCCTGCAGAGGAGTTTGGGTAAATGGAACTGTTTCATCAATTAAACACTCCTTTTTGATGGACAGGTGGAGGAAAAACAAGTTTATTTGTACTGTCAGCCACACAGGAAACAGTTTACGTGCATGTGTATTAGTTGTATTCTTGTGAGGACCTCTTTGAGCTTTAGATCATTGGAATGAGGACTTTTTAGGAGATGAGACGACACTTTGGCTGGTCCTATTTTTTTCCCTACACCCCTCTAAAAGTGTTTTAGGGTTAAGACATATGTCATAGTCTGAATGACCTTTAGGTGAGGCAGACGTTAGACACTTTGTTGTGACGTTTAGGGTTAGGATGAAGGATTTCAGAATGCATCTTGTCAATGAATATGATCACAAAGGGAGCTATACAAACGTATATGTGTGTGATTATTTATTAGTTTTAATGCTTTTCAGAGGATATAAAATTGCTTGCAGTACGCTGGTGCAACACATAATTACTTCTCAGTAATGTAAAGAATAGAGATGAACAACAGAATATCGTAGTTCTGTGTTTTAATCATGATATTAGCAATAAGCTCTTTTCCATCCCAATATTAAGGCCTACAGCAAAAAAACAACTTATTTGTAGAGTGAATAAAGCAACTCTGATCAGTACTTTCTGGCCAGTTTAGTCGCTCTTTTCTGCTAATAATATTAAATATTTATAAGAGAAATTATCAAATAATTTGGCAAAGTCAAATTTAAACAACTGATGTACGATGGGATCTAATTGAAATGGTTTTTCTCTCTTCTTCGTCATAACTTGGGCCAAACAATTTGGCGCAAATATTCAATATTGCAATTTTTCTGATTTAAATCATTTCATTTAGCGTCACCACAAGAGTTACCGTCAAAAATGTGACGTGGAGGACGGCATGAATTTGTAAAATCATCGACTCAACAGGTTTAACACACTGCATGACGTATATCCTAAAGTGCAGCTATTTGCTTATTGCATCGTTTCAGCTATTCAGTCCTGCTTTTAACGGCCACCAGACCCCATACCATGTTGTGCTTGTTTAGATTAAATGTTAAAGGGATAGAAGAACAGTTTTTCTTAAGCAGCTATTAGGTTTGATTACATGATCTGTGCGCCATGCTGGAATGGATCCTCATTAGAGTTTATAATGATAACTGATAATTAAGAATGCTTTATTCCTTACATCCATATACAGAATACAAAAAAAAAGTAGTTTTTCTGTTACAGTTTAGTGTTTTTAGTCCTTAACTTTAGGAACATAAGTCTGCCGACGGCTTTAAGCAGCTGTTATACAACCACATTTAACACTCAGTGCGTCCTGTGTGTGTGTCAGCCAGGTCAACAAGTGCACAAGTTTGTTGTGGGTACGTGCGTGCCAGTGTGCGTGTATCTGTTTGTTTATCCTTGATATGTCGGATGGGTAGATGTGTTGATGACAGTATTCCTCCAAAGAAAGGATGAGAGAGAGGAGGAGGCAGATAGAGAGAGGATAGTCGTTGGCTGACTGCCCTCCCTCGGGGGCTGGTGGAAGGATTAAGGGGGCATCTAGGAAAGACAGTCTGTCTGCTCTTGTCAGGGTTTGGCCAGCACTTGGCTACCTGTCACTCCTGGCCCATGCAACACACAAACACACTTCCCACTCTGTCTCACATCACCCTTCCTTTCGGATCACCCTGCGTCTCCCACTAGTGACCCAACCCAGACAGAAAGTGAGAGACGCCGGGTTGTTTATCATCAGAAACACTGAGCGTGGACGGAGATTGTGCAAAAAGTTAATTTCGTTTGGGGCATAGCTGCATTTGGCAGAGATAGGGTTTGGCAAACAGGCAAGGAGGAGATTAGCTGAGGTTTTTTGTTTGGTAGTTAAGTTTACAGAATGCTAAGAAGCTGGTTTAGGGTTAGTGGATTCCAGCAGTCCTGATCTGTGTTACCTTAAAATGCATGCATGCATGTAGGCGACACTTTTATAAATCCTGGTGCAGCCTTTGTGATTTTTAAGATGTACAAAAATAATCTAAAGTTTGTTATCTGTGCATCGTAGTGACATATCTTTCTGTTTTTCCTTATGAAGGTGTTGTTTATTTTCGTAAGGACTTTATTTGTCGCAGTAATTTTTACATTTTTCTTAGTTAATGACACGTGTTGAGTTCTTAAACACTTGTTCATCCCCACATTCAACACACAAGTGTAGGAATCAGCCTGTAATGCATGACAGCATGTAAAGATGTCATATTTCATTATACGGACTGATTTTAAAAAGCGAACCCTGTGAACACACATTTAGCAAGGCGATTTTCTTTTCACTTCTCTAATTTCACTCATGGGCTTTCCCCAGATGTGCAGATAATTCAGCGAGAAGTGTTTTGCTTGCTTTCTTTGACAACATGTTAAACTTCAGCGCTTTGATGAAGATTGCTTGAGAAATCTCATCACAGTCAGGGAGGCGGCCTCCGGCGGAAACATGCCACCAGACGAGAAATCTCGCTTTCATCATTATTCAAACACACTCGCTGCATTAATCCCTGCCTCTGCCATGCCATTAGCTGTGTTTTATATTTTTATTTTTGTGTGTGTGTGTGCGTCGCATACGGTCGCACCGGATCCGAGGGTGCCGCTGAGTGGTAATGGTTGTGGCACCGTGTGTGGGTGTGGGTGAGGGGGGCAGGCCTCGCGGTCTCAGCGCTGATGGTGGCATAGTGGTGGCATTTGTCAGCTCGCTTCTTCCGCTTGGGCTCCAGATTGACGTCTTGTTTCTTGGCCCTGTTCTGTGGCAGGCTAAAGGTTCCCCACTGAAAAGGTCAGACACTTACTACTGTTTGCTTAACAGCATGTAACAGCTCCTCTGAGGGGGGATCCAGCACACGACACAACAGGGCTGGCCACAGGATACACTCGTAGGCTCGTCACTTTTATGCACGTGTGTGTGGAGAGTTAAAAGATTTAGTTTTTGTGCTTGCGAGGAGAGACTTGGGTGCATGTGTCGGTTACACACACTGGCTGTGGATGTAGGAACTACAAATGATGATTTATCTTCAACTCTTTCTTTTTACTGTAAGGTGATGCCGAATGCAAACAACAAAATGTCCTGAACATGCGGAAAATCATGCGTAGATTTTTTGTGCTTGCTTGAAAGTCTTCATTTGAGCAACATAACGGTGATGTAAAGAAACTACATCTCTTTTTGCAACTGCAGAAGCAAACATTGAATGTAAAGAACATAGCAACCACATAACAGCAACCACGACTCTACAGACTAATCTGTTGCCTCTGAGAATATTTATTGTTCATGTGTGAGTTTTGGGGACTGCAGTGGTTCTCGTGTACCCGTCTGTTGCATCGCATTCACCAGTGGACATGTTTCTATTTCATTCATTCATGCATGTGTGTGTGTGTGTGTGTGTGTGTGCACAGACGCTGGCTATTAACCGAGGGGAGAGTCTCAAGATTTTGACAGTGAAGGTGAACATTCCCGACAGAGTGAAGAGTGACTTCACCAGGTGGTGCATCAACAACAGGTCTGAAACGCACAGTAACACACAATCACTTTTACGCACACCGACAGCCGCGTCTGCCGTGTTCATATTACGTTGCGGTAACGCTGTCGTCGACTGTGGTGTGTGTTCTGCAGACTGTAGTACATATGACACACAACCGGGGTAGGATACATGCAGATATGTGTGCAGTGATCGTTTATTTTTGTCTGTGGCCGTGACAAGTGGATGAGTTTGACGAAATGTTTGTAAGAAAATGAGTGCTTTTTAAAAAAAATATTGCAGTTTTTTTTTTTGCCTAAGTAGATATTTGGTACTAGATGATTTAATAGTGAATCGATTTGTATAGAAATAGTGAAAATTCAGTTGCCTTTCACCAAGACAAACATGAAGCCTCTTCACTTTTCTACAGTCCATTTATTGGTCAAGGTTTTTGTTCGTTAGATTTCTGTGGAGGAGATTTTGCCTTGAGAAATAATTGAGTTGAGTGAAAGCAGAAAGTCAAAGGATGTAGAATGAATTTATATCCACCCCCAGAAAAAGAAAATACATTTTAAAGAAGGCTGCATTTAGAGTTTTTGGGTAGAAAACTGTATTTTTTTTGGTTGTTTTTACAACTTAGTTTAGTTTTGATCACAGTTAAATAAACATTTTTAATTCAGGAGAGTTTCAGCAACATATTATAAGTTTGAAAGCAGAATATTAATTAGAAATTTATTGACACATGTCCCCAGTTTCTGAATATGAAGGAAGTTTTAATTTATATTTAATCAAGAGGCTGTTACTTATTTGAAAGCAATAGTTTGCAAATAAAACACCAAATTTGCAGCAGAAAACTCAAACTTTATTAAAAACAAATCGTATAATGTGGGTGGTGGGTGAGAAGCTCTGCATATTATTATCTCCTAAGAGCCACAGAGTCACTTTGCAGAGCAGCAAAGTCCTATTTGCTTTGATAGATTGTATTTATCAGTAGAAATGAACCATAGAAAAAGTAAACACGCTTTCTCCCACCGTGTTATTGCAGGTGGAGGCCGAAGACATTTGCAAGAGAAGAACTGAATGCGATCATCAGGAACGCTGTGGAGGATTCTTATAAAAGGCTTATTCTGCCTTTCCTCACGAGGGGCTACAGGTATTTTAAGTGTGTTTGATTTTAAGGAGTTTTTTTCCCCTCCTTTATTTCCATTTATTCACATTTAGCGCGTCCCTATTTGCTTTTCTTCTTCCCCAATCTCTCCCTTGTTTTCCATCTTTGTTTTTCTCTCTAAGTTATTGTCAGTCATGTCCCGGTATTTATTTGTACTCTCACCACAAAGCTAACATCTACATGTTTTCCTCCACCATCTGCTTCCCTTTCTGGCTCTATTTGTTGATGTATTCATTCACTGCTTTCCCCATCTGTTGAGTCTCTCTCTTGCGTTCTCTCTCTCTCTTCAGGACTAAGCTGACAAGTGCGGCAGAGAAGGAGTCGATTGCCATGTTCGTGCGAAACCTCCGCCAGCGTCTGTTGGTGTGTCCGGTCAGGGGCTGCGTCATCCTGGGGGTGGACCCTGGCTTCAGACACGGCTGCAAACTGGCCGTCCTCTCCCCCACGAGTAAGGAAACATGAAATGTGCTGGATTGGCTGTGTACAGTCGATGCTTTTGCATCTGAGCTATAACCCTCATAAGACCATACTCTTCTACGAGGTTGCGTTTTACTTACATTATTTAAAGGCCCCTTTGTTAACATATGGTGTTTTTTGTAAACTAGAGGTGCAAAATAAGAAAGACTGCAGTGTATCGATGACCATTTAAATAAACAACCATATTCAGACAAACCTACGTAATCAATCCCCAGAACTTGCAAGTTGGAGCATTTTTCTTCTTCAGAATTGGTTTCTGGTTCTAACATGTTTGATTTACTGCAATCTGACAACTTGCCATTGTGTATTACAATAGTAGTGCTGCACATTCGTAGTGCATAGTCGTTTTATAGTGCTTGGGCAGAGTCGTAGTTTAGAAAAGAAGCTGGAGCTGCCATGAGTGCAGAGAGGCAGCGACTGTGTAGATCTGTGCATTGCAGAGGAAGCCACAGTGACCTGTTTGAGTGTGTAATATTAACATTGATTATCTTTTACTTTTTTTTTTGTTCTGCAAATTCATATTTTATAACATTTTGTAGGATTGTTACCGTAATGTTTAAATAACTCATGTATATTCACAATATTAATTATATTGCAGGGTTTTCACCTCAATATTTACCCTTTTACTGTAAATTTACAACATCGATCTTATTTTTCTACTCAAAACCACTTTGGCTCAAGGCTGTTGTTTTATTTGTTTTATATAAATAACAGTGACTCTGAGTGACCTGATTTAGACGTTTAAGATAGGAAGGGTTTTTTTTTTTAATGGAAAAACATCTAAAATGCAACTTTGATACACAGAGATGAGTTTTTAGGAGTTATGGCAATGACCAGAGGAATTTTAAGATATTAGGATTAAAAACTTTTAATGTCACATGTCTGACACCAGTGTGTTTAAGTGTGGAGCAAAAATACAAACATGGACACTTTGGCAGCACAAAGTGTGATCGAAATGCATTGCAGATGTATTTGCAGGCAGCAGGCGGGCGACAGAGATCACACGGAGATCATAAAGGCACTGTGTAAAAATTAAATCAGAAAGGCAAATTACACATAGAAATTATGTGATTCAACCCAAATGAAATACTTTCTCACAACAAAAACAAACAACTTAGACTACAAAATTGAACGGGGGAAAAAAAGTCCCTAGAAATGTTGCAGCTTTAAGGGTGGAAATCCAAAAAATGTCCCTCTGAAGGGAGGTAGTTGTATGCAGAGGGTCATTTCTGGTGTCATCTACATAACCATCCACGCTTTTTATCATAAAGCCACAAGCTTCAGAGTGCCTTGAATTGTTTGAAGTCATTGTGGCTCTTGACTCTTTCTTCTAAGACTCGTTTTGACATTTCAGGACATTGTAGTGCAATAAATCTCATGAGAGTAGATGTGAGATGCTTGATGGATGATGCGTGGATGAGTGTTGAGACTGACAGCAAACATGTTTATTCTTCACCACGGTGTTGATCTACAAGGAGTGTTTTAATGTAAAGCTCATAACCTGAATATTGTCACAGATGTTCTCCTAATTAGTCTCTGCCTGTCTTAATAAACGTAATTGACTGTTATGTTTTGATACGCCCGCTAAGAACACACACAAGCTGTGTTTTTAAGAATGGAGTCATTGCATTTCACCAACTGTATTTCATCACACTATGCAAACTAAAGTATAGCCACCAATCCATGACTATACCACAGTATATCTATCATGAGTCTGACGCCTTCACTATGCTTTCGATGTTTTAGGCCCAGTAAGGAAATAAGCAGAGTCAGACATCTGTACATTATGCCGTATGTATCATTCATGAGGCTGTATATTCTGTGTGAGAGGATGGCATGTAATCAGGCCCCACTAGATCTGTTATTACCACCAAGGTGTGTGTACATGTCAGGGACTAGATGCCAGTTGGCGTGACCCCAGTGAGCTGATTATGTGTGTGCACGCATATGTATGTGTGCCTTTTTTTTTTTTGTGTCTTCTTCGCTATACGTCTTGGCATGTCTCTCAGTGGGTGTAGCTTCACGCTGTGCGAGGGAACGTCCCCCCCTCTGGGCGGCTTATTGTGTGGCCACAAGTCATGCTGACACACTTAAAGCAGATAGACACAGGCGTATATCAGGTGTTAGGCCCAGCATGGCGTGGTCACAGGTTCGGTGGCTCTTAAGCTCACATCACTTCCTGCCTGAACTGTCCATTCAGATCTACAGTCCTCCTCTGAGGAGGCGGTGAAGTGGCAGGAGCTGGACTTCCTGTGGCGGCCAGGACTGTGCAGATGTGGAGTTTATTAATTATTTAATTTATTTAGGGCATTGCTGTCTCATTAGACAGCGAACAAGCAGAGAGACATGAGCTGGTCGTATATACCGCAGTCTGCTGAGCCTCCTCGTGTCATCGTAATACTTTATCAACAGCATTGTGTTTCCTCTCTCTCCCTCTGTCTGCTCTCAGGTCAGATTCTCCACACTGATGTCGTGTACCTGAATAATCAAGGCCAGCAAAGAGAAGCAGATAAACTGCGCCACCTTATGATCAAGTACAGGTACTGCTGATTGTGTTTGAATAGTCATCATTTAAATGTTTCAGCTGAATTTAAAGCAGAAAATGCTGATTTGTTTGCTGCCTCCATGTTTTAAAATCCATTTAAATGTGTATATATACTTAAGATAGAAATGAAAACATGAACATAACCTATTTTTTTTAAAGATTTATTGTTGCTTTCTTCATCCTCACCGTCCCTTTCCTCTTCATCTTGTCCCTACCAGCTGCACCAAGGTTGTCATTGGCAACGGGACGGCGTGTCGTGAAACAGAGTCGTTCTTCGCTGACCTCATCTCCAGACGTTTTTTTCACCCCCTGGATGTGTCCTACTGGTAAGGTCATTTTCCAGTGCGTGCTAGAAATGGGCCCCAGTTACTCATGACCCCGAGTAAAGAGCATATAGAAGACGGATGGGCGGCCGTCCAGAGGGTTCACGTCTTTGGCGGAGTTTGATAACAAATGGGTTCACGTGATTTGCCGTGTCTCTCTTCGTACATGCTAATATGTTCCTGTAGAATGTGACACTTTGGCATTTGCACTTGTTTGAAATGCAAATTTTTCTCAAAGGAGCATTGAAACATAACCAATGACACATACTACTGATTCCATCCATCCATTATCTATACACCACTTAATCCTCATTAGAGTTGCGGGGGGGCTGGAGTCTATCCCAGCTGACTCAGGGTGAAGGCAGGTTCACCTGGACAGGTAACCAGTCTATCACAGGGCTACACTTAGAGACAGACAACCAAGCACACTCACATTCACACCTACGGACAATTTAGAATCACCAATTAACCTCAACATGTTTTTGGACTGTGGGAGGAAGCCGGAGAACCCGGAGAGAACCCACGCTGCACGGGGAGAACATGGAGGCTCCATGCAGAAAGATCCCTGTGACGCGAACCAGCGACCTTCTTTTTGCGAGGCAACAGTGCTACCAACTGTGCCACCTTGCAGCCCATACTGCTGATTATTGTTTGTAATTCTGAATTTCTAAAGTACACAAGAACATGGCACAAGAAACCGACGTGATTCTGAAATGCCTCAGCGCCACATGTTTTCAAACAACAAAAACAATCACTTTGCAATCTCTATTTTTTTGTGCCTCTCCTGCCACCTGTGTTCCACATGTTCTACGCTTGGCACCAAAATACCACACAGCTGGGCCGAGCTAATTCCAAAACTAAGAAACAACCAAACTTGTTGCACAGCTACCAACATGGAGCTGTTACATATTATGTGCTGATGTTCCTTCCAGTGCAGTAAAGTACGTTTCACATTTATCTCCGACTGATAAACCCCGCAGGACGTGTTTCAGGACTTTTGGGTATTTAAAAACCTTTTAAATGAGGTGTTCTCTGACGACAGCGACGATGATTATTCAATTATGGTCTTGATACAGAAATAATGAAAGTTAAAAGTGAGGAGCGGAGAAGGTCGAGAGAACAGGGATGAAGAATGTGACAGAAAGTGAACTCAGCAGAAATATGTGTGGGAGCGAGAAAAGCGGGACAGAGATGGAGAGAAAGACAAATTGGAATGTGTCCTCAAGTGAATATCGTCCATTAAAGCCATCTGGACTTCGTTTCGCTTTGGTCCAATTAAAGAGACGCTTTGTGGTCCACGTCGTGTCTGTAACCAGGCCCGGTCCAAGCTTCAGAATACAACAGCACAGAACCCCTGTCCAAGCATAACAACCACTGGCCTCTCCTTGCTCCATCTCCTTCACTCTGTGCTGAGTTCCATGTGTGTTTGTTGACTTGAGGTTAGCAGTGGGACCACAGCCTAAAATGATTCTGGGCTGTACGTGCATGTGTGCGTACAGGAGTTTTCTCAGTGTCTTTGAGTTCATGCTCACATGCACGCTTCAGAGGTCGTACGTTCGGTGTAATAGCCCACATTTTTTTTCTCTTAAGTTACATTTTCTGTCTATTTTCAAGAACAGAAACAGTCAAAGGGAGGCGTTTATTAAGTTAACGTCCACTTGATTATTTTCACGACGGGCATTTTTTTTCTCTTTTGAGCACCTCCAGAGCAGCTAAATTTCACATCTTGATATAATGTCTCCCTTGTTCCTTCTTTTGCTGCAGCTATTGGCATTCGTGCTTCTCGCAGCACATGAGAATGTGGGACTCCTGTTTGATGTGGTGCTAACTGAATGTCCTGTATCACCCAATACGATTAACTACATTTTTGCAGCACGTAGCACATGTGTAAATAGTCTGCCTTCGCCTCAGTATGGTTTTGTGGAATAAAGGCTTTTTTGCGAGTGCGTGAACTTTGGAAGAGCAGAAAGATGTTATTTTGACATTAGCCATCGAAATATGGTTATTGTTATCCCGACTGTATCGCTGCGGAGTCATCTGGTCTTATGCCTCACTTTGGTTTCTTTGGATCGGGGCTGATGGAGGCTCAGAAATAGAAGCTAGAAGAGATGTTAAAGCTGAATCCGTGTGTGTGTCTTGGTTGAAGCTAGCTCTTGCTGCACTTTTCTCTGCCTTCATCTTCTGTCTAATTCAACTTTTTCCTCTCTTGTCTTCGCCACTCTTTTGTTTCCATTATCTGTCCTCTTCCTCCATAAAAGCTTGATTAATTTAATTTGTCTTTAAGATGGAGTTCCCTCTGACATGTATCTGGACTCTGTGGTTTGATCTCACTTATCAGTATTAAACATACTGTGGGATTTATGTGACACTTGGGTGTGATTAACCTGAATTGTTGGCTGCACATGAAATTTCATATTCATAAGGCCATAGAAGTAATCAGAAGTTTACACAAATATCAATTTACCCCTTTAAAGCTCTTTAATACTGAAGTTAGATGGATGCTGGCATCTTTAAGTAAATCCTCTCTTGGATATATAGTTGACAAATAAATAAACAAGCAACTAAATTTATAGCACAAACCTAAGAAGCGCATTTAAATAGTTTATTTGCAATATTAATTCGCTAGGCAGCAACAAATTTAGAGTCAGTAACTGAGCTATCTTTCTTTATTCTTTATTTCAAATGAACGATCAAAAAATAGATGAAACAAATGGAAAATAAAAATAAAAAGCCAATTTCAATATAATGCACATTTGACTCGTTCGAAAAGGGACAGGAAGAAGCCTCGGCTTGTCAAGTCCTATCCCCCATTCTTCACCATTAACAAATACAAGATCCAATACAATAAACAAAGCAGGCAATACAAAAAAAACTATTCCAGTCGAGCTATTTAAGAAAGACAGAACAAAACAAAAACGCACTAAAAAAAAAGAACAAAATGAACAAGCGCTAAGTCAATGTTGCAACAGATACTCACATATACTGTATTTATTTATTTATTTATTTATTTATACTGTTTTTTCTTGTACTACATCATTCCTGTTCCATGCTGCGATAATGGATGAATCATTAACATCCCTTTTGCAGCCTAATTGACTCGTAGACGTTCTCTTTGTCCCTCCACATGGTTATAAAATATACAACACCAGCCTCGGTGGTGGAAATGATTCTGTTCCTTGCATAAGTTATCGGCCTGCTAAATCAGTAATGCCTTTCTTTTTTACCCCTACTGAAAGATACCTGGCTTAATGTTGGCCTAATGTGTCAATTTTGACCAAAACATCCCTTGAAGGACGGTGATAATGGGAGGGCAGTGAAGAATGAATGACCTCTAGGTTATTGCTAACTACCAGGGCCTTGCTCCCCCGCTGACTGACCCACGGCTGACCCTGACTTGCCATTAAGCAAAACTCATTACCACGACAACGAGGATGATGGCAATGACGCCGGATAGCTATGTTAGCATCAGAAACGGCAAGGGGTCTCAGAGCTTGCTGCGATGTCCCCAGTTTAATTAATTGACCCAGTTCCTGGCGTACTTTGCGACTTTGTGAGTTCTAAATGTACGAGCGTTTCGAGGCCGACGTTGTAGCCCAGTAGGCCCCAACGGTTTTTGATCGACAGGTGCAGAAAGACTTTGAGGCAGCCCACGCATCTGCAGCTGGCTGGGTCACGGTGGTGGAAAACCACTGGCGCATACAGCTGCCTTAAACAGAAAAACTGTTCCTAAGTGGAATACTGTCTTGTCTGTTTCAGTGTATTTACAGAGTGACGGACTCTTTCCATCGCTGCCTCGCCATCCATGCTCCTTTGGTTTCCCTCATTTCTTCTGCTCAGTCTTTGTCGTCCGTAGCTTCTGGTTGGTAGATGTCTCCTGGCTCAAAAGCAAACAACCACAAACATGAATGTGAGTGAGAGCATGAAGCTTAGATGACATCTTCATCGTGTTGTTTGACCAAACCCTAGAGCAGTGTTGATTTTATGAGGATTTTGAAGCATCATTATCGTGTTAGGTGGGATCAGCCAGTGAAAAGAGGCATTTCCAGCGTTTAAAGCTTTTTTAATTCTTGGCGATGCTGCGCCGTTAGATGTGTGACAGGCCTGTGGTTTGTTTCACTCTGTGCATATGTGAAGACATGTGCACGTATAGGCGATTAAGCCTCCCCTCCTTTTCCTCTCCCCCGTCAGCCTCGACTGTAGTAGTTCATTAAAGTCCTCAGCCTCATTTGCACCGTCTGCTTCCTGTCTCCCTGTGAGCCTTCATTGTGTCACCACCCCCACCCTTCTCTCCACCCTTTCTCCTCCACCCGCCTGTCTCTCTCCGTCCTTCTGCCTCAGTGCTCAGCTGGAATGACAGCCAGAAATGGCAGCCTGCAGGACATCCTTACTTGTGTTTTGTCTTTGTGTGTGTGCGTGTGTGTGTGTGTGTGTGTGTGCGGTTTTCATTGCCTTAGTCCTGTTTGAGTAGACTCATCGTACTCGCAGCGTCACCTCTTGCATCATTTTTTTTTATTTTTTTAGGAGTGTGGCCTTTTCTAAAGAAAGCCAAACAAGGCTACGGATTTGTGTGTCTTTGTGTGTCTGTCAAAGTCGTCTCATTTTGGAAGTATAAGTGTGAGTAAAAGAAAAGCTCGGTTTAGTTATTTATATAAATCTTTGCAAATCGCTGCATTGATACACATATACAATAGGTTACAGGTTTATAATGATCAGTTAACATGATTTTGTTTTTGTTCTGCAGAATTACTTCAATAATTGTTAACTTTATAGAATAATAACTCGTGAAATAGCCCCTTAACAATTAGTTTAAAACCCAAAAGTTCAACAGAGGGAAGCAAAATGTATTCAAATGGTTGGTGATTAATATTCTGTTGACTGACTGATTGTTTCAGCTCACTGACATGATAGCTCACTCCAGAGTGTTCGACCTCAGGAGTATTTATTACAGGTTCCCGCTATTAGTGTGGAAATACAAGGCTTTTTAATGAACAAGGTTAAACGAT